TGAATGAATGGAATCCCAAAATCTCTGTAGATGTTCATTGAAATGAAAAATAAACAACCTAAATTTAAAAAAAAAAAGTGGCCACTGGTCCAAGTTGGATTCAGGAATATGAATATTTGTTGATTTTCAGGTATCAAGCTGAAAAAAACAGGTAAAGAATAGAATTTAGACTAGGAGAATAGGGACATTGTTTTCATTCCTGCAATGAACAAATACATTTCTAAATAACTTACCCAAGTATTAGTTCTGAGGCAACTGCTATTTGTTCCCTGTTGTAGTTTAATTCTACAAACTCCCACTGCCAAAAACAAACAAAAAAACAGTAAAATCCCAGGACATTTGTTTCCCCTTTATATTATGTGGGTAATACATGTTCATTGTAGGAAACAGAAAATATGAATAAGTAAATAAAGAAGAAAAATAAAATCACTCATATGCCTACATTGCTGGAATCGGCTGAAGCTAGTAACATTTGTATAAAAGTATTAAAAGGGAAGGGGAGGAGCGATGGGAAACCACAAAATTGCAGTTTGGTGAGTGCAGGGAGGAGGTGAAGGAATTAGGAAAGATCCAGTGGGGACCTGAAAAGACAGTAATAGTGGGAATAGATGAATGGTGATTAACTTTATAAAACACAATGTATGGGAATGATGGTAAACACACTGGGAATGAAGAAATGTGTGATCACAATGTATATGAGTGAAACACAATATATACGACTTTTATATGCAAGCCATACAAAAGAAGAATTTTAAAAACATATTCTTTTGGACATTGTTCTCTGAATACTTAAGTATGCAAGCATATTGTAAAATCTGTGATTCAAGATATTTATATTGCTTTATAACCTAATTTTTGCATAATATCACCATGATCATCTTTATACATTAAGATCTACAATATTTTAATGGTTGTTACCATCTCTAAATTGGCTATACTCTAATATATTCAAATAATCTCATATCTTGAACACAAGTATTTTGGTATCAATTTTACTGACTGCCAACAATTATTCTTAGATAAATATTCTTCAAATCACTAGATATTTTTTAAAGGAGTTCTATGATTCACTTGCACATGCTGTAAAACCTCTATCCTTTTTAATAAAATTATAGTATTATTAGTAAAATTATAAATTTTGCATTTAAGCCAAATGAGATCCTCCAACTTGATAAAGTTGCACATTTTCCTCCCTGCCTCCTCTTCCCCCCAGTTCACTATTTTCTTTGGAAAAAAAGTTCTTTCATTAATTGTTATAAAGACCACTTTACTATGCAGCTCTTATTCTGGACTCCTGTTATGCCAATATTACCTAATCATATATTCCTTTTATATAGTTCTGTCCCTTGTTTGTTTCAATGCCATGTACATTATTTATCCCCTCTTTGCTTACTTTCCCCCTCCACCCTCCATGTCAGTCCTGTTTTATAACATTGGCATTATTTTTAAGGCATAATCCAATCAACTTACAATGTAATAGTGGAGATACAGTTTGAACAACTGCAAGATTTACTTTGTTATAAAAAAGTGGAAAACACCTCTGGAAGAGCGAGGCCTCTGCTGTTTGGGAGTCTAATATATTCACCTCCCCATTGCAGTTATGCGCAATCAAGGCAGCCTGAGGCTCATTCTCAACAGTAAACTCTTTGTACAAATGGATATGCAAAGGGCAAACCACAAAAACTTACAGATAGCAGCAACTGATTTAGAAGACTACAGCATCAAACTATTTTTAATTCAGGTAAGTAAAAAATTTCTGTGGTGGAGGATTTTCCTTACAGTATTTATAAGCTCTCTGCTAAAGGGTAAGTCTATTCGGCCCTCGAGCTATGCTCTAGTACACAGCAGTGCCATGCAGCTTCCAAGGGTGATCGCTTGATGGAAGCAGACTGCCACATCCTTCTTCCCGGGAGCAGCTGACAGAGTCAATCTATGACCTTTCAGTAGCAGCTATCTGAGGACTTCACTGTGCCACCAGCATTCCTACTATATTGATATGTCTCTGCAGTTACCAACTTGTTTATTTCCTCTTATTACATAACCATTGACAATATACCAGCCATTCATCATGACTGTTTTCAGTTTATTACAAAAATCTAAATTTTATATGAGTTCCAGAAATTAACATGAAATCAATAGCAATCAAATAAGACTCATTCCAAGCAATTTGTAAATGCTGAGAAACTTCTACCTTTATTCTTTAGTGATGAAATTATGCCAACACTCTTACTAAGTTACTGAAGTGCCTGTTGTCAGGAATGGCTCCCAGGAGTGGGTCATGAAAGCCATAGCCTGATGCTTATACTCATGCTGAGACAGAGAAGGCTTTGAGATCACTGGAAAGGAACCAGTGAGAAATGGAAAAACACAGGGCCAGGAAGTTAAACCAGCCAGTCCAAGGGATAACAGCAAATTCCAATTCTGGGCATGAGTCAGTCTCCAAGGTAACAGGTTGGGAGCCCGGCGTTAGCTGTTCTCTGCAGCAGGAATGCTTGACCTGAAATGCAAGACTCAGACACAGAGACAGAGCTGGAAGGAATGAGGCCAAAAAGGGGGGGAAAAGAAAAAACAGAAAAGGCTTCAGAAGACTGTGTACCCTAGCGATTTAGGGGAAATGTGACAACTCAAATAAAAGGCTCCCATAAAGTTGAAAAATGGACATAAATAAAAACCAAAAATGTCAAAAATGTTATTACCTATCAATAAGTATACTGTTAGGTGATGTTGGTAATTAAAATGTTAAGTGTTAAGATCATGTCCAGCACTCTTTGCTGTTTGTAAGATAATATTTGCTGTTCTGCCAGGCTAGGCTACCAGTGGTTTTGAGTGAGTAAAGCAGCCTGCTAGAGGCGGAGACTATTAGCCATGATTATTCTCTGATGTTCAATACTTGACCTATGCTGATACAGATATATTCTCTCTCGGCCTATGGCAAGATGCTGCACTGTAATCCCAAAGGCATGTGCTTCACATCCACCAGCTGCTCCATAGGAGAAAGATGTGCAATCTCCTCTTGTGCAATTAACTGCCTCTGAAAACCCACTGGAGGGTCAGTTGTGGATCCACTCAGACTCGACAGTACACAACAACAACAACATCATCATTATTGTTATCAAGTCAAAGCTGACTCTATCTCCCTTGGAGTCACTGATAGATTTGAACCACCAAAGAGGTTATATCTTTGGAGTATCAGTGCAACTCCCTAAGCCCTATGCCACCAGAGCTCCACATATATATTTGGAAAAATAGAGAGATGAACTGACACAATGACTGTGACAATGAAGCTGAGCATGATGGAGATTGTGAGAATGGCTCAAGATAGGGCAAGGCTTAGATCTTTTGAGGGAGTTACTATGATTTGTAGTTAACTTGACAGTCTTTGTTGTTGTTAGACAATGATATAAATACATAAAAAGTATATATGGCAGACCATATATAAAATAGAGGCAAACAAATCAGATGCAAAAAAATGCAAAATTCTATGCTATTTATTATTATTATTTATTATTATTTTGGTCTTAGATCTAGCATATATTTTCAGCTTCGTGTAGGAGATCCAGTTTTGACTCCTTAACAAAAAGCACTTAGTATTAAACCAGCATCCACCTGTGAGTGAAAACCTATGTATGAACAGTTTTCATTCTAGCTTCTACACTAAGATAGTCTAAGAAGAAAGGCCTGGGTATCTACCCCTGAAAACCAGCTAGTGATAATACTACAGATTACAAATGTCTAATTCAAAACCAACTTGAAGATGGCACTGGGCTAGGGAGTATTTTGCTTTTTGTTCACACAGTCAAAATGAACTGGATGCCAACTCAACAGCAGTGAACAAAACACTTATGTATGTGTGGTTTTGCATGTATCTTTATGTGTCAATATGTATATAGATGGCATGAATGGAGTAAAAGCTTTTCATTTGTCCATGTGCCATGACTCAAAATGAGGAGAAACAGTAGCAAGTATCCATTAGTAAATGGAACATGGAATCTAGGAAAAAGAGTTGTCCAAATGAAATGTAAAACATCAAGTTTGATACCTAGGCACGTTGGTGGTAGTAGGTGTGCCATTGAGTTGGAAGAGGAGACTGCCTATACTTCTGCTTCAGAGCTCACACGGAAGAAGATTGCCCATCCTTCTCCCACAAAGCAGCTAGTGGCCTCAAACTGCATTTATTTCGGATTGTAGCACAGCATCTTGCCAGTAGGCCACCAGGGCTCCACATCTACATATAAGAAGATGTAAAAATATTACTATTATTCAAATATATACACCAATCATTTATAGATGAAGAAAATGAGAATTTCTACCAACTTCTGCAATCTAAAACAGACCAAACATGTAATAAAAATGCATTAATAAGATGTTTGGAATAAAAACATTGGAATATTCAGTCATTATTTAAAATTCATTTCATTCACTGCACCAAATCCATTCTCGAGATGGATTCTAAATTCAGGTAGATAATACTTATAGTCATATGTAGGCTCTTGTGGACAAGAAGAAGGACAAGTATGGGGAAATATGAGTTGGTAAAAACAAGAGGCCAGAGATTGCACGATAGAATTTTGTACTCCCAATGACTTACTCAAAGCAGACACCTTTTTCAGAAAATCTAAATGGTAACTATACATGAAGGCCTTGCCTGATGGAATACACAGGAATCAAACTGACTACATCTATACAAAGAGACAGTGGAGAAGCTGTGTCACAATCAGATGGAAAAGACCCTCAATTGTATCTATGCAAGTTCAACCTGAAGCTGAAGAAAATTAAAACAAGTCCACAAGAGCCTAGATATGACTTTGAGTATGTCGTTGTTGCTATGTGCCACTGAATTGCTGGCAACTCATAGTGACCCTAAGTACAATAGCCCTAAACCCTGCTCTTTCCTGTGCCAAT